TATTCAATTCATCAAATATTATATTCTCGCGTTAGGCAGTAAAAGGTGACACAAATCTACGATGTCATATATTGGCAGACTGCCGACTGAGTATACGCAAGATAACTGAAACAGTGGGCATCTCAAACGACCGAGTATGCCATATCCTACTCATATCCCTATAAATCTTGGACATGAGAAAGCTGTCGGCGGTGATGGCCACGTTTACTCACTGCAAACAACAATCTTAACCCTAAGACCACTTCAGAGCAATGTTTGACGCTATCGAAAAGTAATCCAAAGGAGGCGAAGATTGTCTGTCAGCCAAAAAGATCATGGCCACCATTTTTTGGAATTTGCAATTGGTAATATACGTCGACCACTATTATTGGGCCGATTCGACGCCAAATTGTAGAAAAACGACTCCATTTAGTAAAGAAAACATGCTCTTTCACCATGACACCGGACCAGTTCATACCTAAGCCGTTCCCATGGCGAAATTGGTCGAATTGGGCTACAAACTTTGGCCCCATCCACCATATTTTTCAGATTTGGCCTCGTGTTAGTTCTTTTTGTAAACGTTGATCTATATTTATGCTTTGTATACTACAAAAAGCTTTCAATAGAGAAAGACATAAAAAACTAATACCAATACTTATGAACAAGCGCAGTGACAGTAAAATCATAAATCTATTGCAAACATTATATTGCAAGCAAAGTGTCATAATTAAAATTGATAAGCAAAAATCAGAAGAAATGAAGATCTGTAGAGGAGTTAGACAGGAATGTGTTTTATCGCCACTTTTGTTTAACTTTTGTTCTGAACACAGTTGGTCTGTGTCGTTTTAACTGACAAGTACCACGTATTAAAAATCGAGCATGGAGATATGTAGTCCCTAAAGTAATTAAAATTTATCCATTGTCATCGACCTAGAGTCACAACATAATTAACATCTAACATTTGGAATGATGGTAGCTTCAATTACACAAGGCACTGAGGATGAAACGTTATGCTAGTACATAAATTTTGACGACACTTTTTAACTATTTGTTTTTTATACCACAATACAAGTGTGAAGTATTTTACTTCTGGGTTTTTTTATAGTTTAAGTACCTAACCTAATAAATTGTCTGGAACTATACTTTTGTTGATAAGTGCTTTCAGGTTATTTAGCAAATTGTAAAACTGTATTTGCTTTACATATTAAGTACAGTCTATCAAGAAGTGCTTTATACTGTCTAATGTATTGCATGTTTCGCATTTTGGAGGTTCACTGTTTTACTGTTTCTGTAAAGTAAACACGATCATTTTGAGAGTTTATGAACTGCTCAATAGGTAAATTTTTCTCATCAGATAACACTATGTTCGGAAATTCGCCACGTTCGTGCAGGCGTAACAACTCATTTGCTCTTTCAAGCCGAACTTTTTTTTGCTTTGGTGTAAGATTGTATTATGCTTTTTGGAACTTGTAAGACTTGACCTTGAGCTCACTTTTCAATATTCGTTGCATGCTTCGCTGGGATATTTTCAGTTCTTTGGTCATTTGATTACCACTATGACGTGTATTTCGCTCAAGTCGAGTCTTTACTTTCCTAACCATTTCAGGTGATGTTGCTGTTTTTTTTTTCGTCCACCACCATGGTTTTTGGCAATGCTACCAGTATCATTATATCGAGTTATGGTGTGATACACAAACATTTTATTCGCTTTGAGGTGTTTGAGTTGACGAGCAATAGCAGGTTGTGATTTTTCAGCCAAATACAACACTATTACGTTTAAATTCTGTTGCGAATAACTTTTGTTGTATGTATAAAACTTAAATGCAACTAGGGTAAAACCAAGACGATATATTTTGAGACAAGCTGTACGTTGGCTTTGAAGGTCGGTATCTGTTGTGGCTTATTCGCAAAGACCTGAAATTTAACAAAACCCTACGATGTCTATGTCCAGTTCACATCAGCCCAGGGATGCCAGGTCTAAGGATTTTTCCTCAGAACTGGGGAAAATTAAGAATCTTTGGGAACTAGGGAAAAACTTTTTTAAAATAGGAAATAAGGACTCTTTAATATCTGGGGAAATCAAACTGGCTAAAATATGTTGTTAAATTTAGTAAAAAATAGGTATTTTTGAAAGTCTCTCACACTCAACACAGTTTGGTAAATTTTCGCCACCACGAACAATGATATTGCCGGGGTTCACTGATACTGTCATCTATTATGAACTAATTGTGTAGGTTCGGGTTTACCCAACTTACAAGAAACAAATGAAATTATCAAAACTTCTTAGGAGTCATGGGGTATTGTCATTTGTAATATCCTGTAGTTCTATATATTAACTTTCATACTGTCAATAATGCCAAAAACAATTACTATGCCTGTCAGTTTCACCAATAGCACTTTATAAAGCTCCTTATTTGTTTTAAGCTTCTGTCGTATGTCATATAATCCATGTATATTATTAATATACCTACGTCATATGATAGAAGCTCGAAACAAACAAGAAGCGTTGAAAACTCCTATGGTGAAAACCCCTACTCCGACTATTTATTGGATAAAACAAATATCGGTAACCTACATATCAGGCAACATACATCGCAACATGGGTTGCATACATGTAGGAGAAGATTTGTTAAAAACTGAAATAATAAATCTGGGGACTGAAATATATAATGTGTTCAAAATCTGGTACCTTTTAAAACACAATTTGAGGAAATAAATTCTTTAGTCCAATCTTGCATGAGCTGTGTGACAGGTAGCGCTGTCCTGGTGAAATCACGTGTATTTAAGAAAAAAATATGTGATATACAAGATAAGGATAGTGTTAAATGAAGACAAAGGGAGGGATGTATCAAATGTTTCCTATAATATATATTAAACGTGTAGTGTATTAAAAGCAGTGTATTTAAGTTAAATTGAAATGCCAGATGTTTTAATAACCAAATTTTATTCATTACGTATAATGTTCTGGCTTAATAAAACTAACAAAGTAATGCATATAAGTATAATAATATTTGCTCTCTTTCCTTGCAGCTGATTAGTAAAGATTTTATGATAACAGTCTTTGTTCGCTCAATTGTATAGCTAATATTATAAGTTTTGGGATTATATTAGAAAATAAGAATTTAGATAAATTATAAACTCATTATTTATATATAACTTGCATTATTTAACAAAATAAACGATTTTCCAATTTTATACACGTGTTACATTAATAAACGAAAAAAACAAATATTTTTTCGGTTGGTTTATGTGCTTTTACCATATGTTTTTTTAGTTATACTGTATTGGATGTACAGAAGTACAAAATAAGTTAAAAAAATGTTAATACCTGTATCATATCTATCATGGCATGGACTGTTACACTACCCTTACGCTTCATCAGGTAAACTTCCAACAATTCTACCCCCTCTTTTTTGGGGAGGGGGGTAGCTGACCTGACCTTACTTAGAGAAAACAGCACTATAACTACTTCATGGTACACCAAAAAAACTTGGTCGTCGAGATATCTGAATTTCAATTCTCATCATCCCCTGTCTCAAAAGAAATCAGTAGTTATCGGACTCGCCGATAGAGCTATTAAATTATCCGATCCTATCAATAGACCCCAGCCCATTAAAAAAGCAAAAACAGCACTAACACTTAATTCATACCCACACCACCTTATAGACAATACTTTCAAATCGCGACTGCATAAATTTTACAGTAACAATAATAACAATGAAACCAACATGGTAAAGAAAAACTATATGTCTCTCCCCTATATAAAAGGATTATCAGAACAAATTGCAAGTCTTCAGTCTAAACATAATATTACGGTTGCTCATAAAGGGCACAATCTTTTGAAAAGGAATTTTACAAGATTAAAAACAAAAACCCCTCTATTAAAAAGATCGCATGTTGTACTGCTACTGGACTGCACTGCCAATTTTAATTCTCTTTTATAGGATGTTCTAAAATTGTTTTTTTTTACATACTGTTCATTCGCATCTTTGTTTACTTCTAGGAACTTTAAAACTAGAATGTCCATTGCCTGTTTTCGTGCGTTTCTATAATATGATTCAAGCCATTTCGATTTTCTATAATATGATTAACGCAAGTGTGTAGTTAAAAACGCAGTTGAACAACGTCACTGTATCGTGAGTGGTCGCCTTTAGGCAAGCCCCTCTTTCGTTAATCGGAGATGGAGATTTTGAGCAGTGTTGCCAATATCATTCCACTAGATGTTTCTAAAATAACTACAAACTTCTGAAATAACTACAAACCATTAAGTTTATTTTTGTTATTAGTCTGTTGTAGTAGATTGGTAAATACAATGAAAAATATAGGCAAATATCCGATTTATTTAAAGATACGAAGAAGATATAACTCTCAAAATGATCCGCAAATCGGATTAGTGTCATGTCTAATTGGCCAATTCTTTACGTGTTTGGTTCATACGATGGTGTTTGTGAGTTCGAATCCAAATATGAATTTTCTTTATTATTTTTGAAATATTTAACAACCTCACGTTAATCTTAATAAATATATGTAATATACGCAAAAATACTGAATTTTAAAATAAAATAAAAATTTAAAACATAATCGGAGTTGTTGCTTTTTTATTTTTATCTTCGTTAAGTAAGTTATGTATATTGGCAGTTTTAAATACTTATTAATATTACATTTTAATTTATATTGTATTATTATATTGAATTATATTGCACTGTATTTATTGTATTGTAATTTTTATATTTATAACAAAATAAACAATGAATTTTACTGCAGAGTATGTGTAATTTTTTTTGCATTCAACTCTTGCATTTGTTTATATACAGCAAAAGATGCACCATATACATATAAAACTAATTATTTTTCTCTTTTTGCTCTCCTTTACCTATAGCATTACATAATGTAATGATTGTGCAGATTGACTCCCATATAAATTTTTAACGACGAACGCGTGTCTAGAAGTCCGGCAGTCCCAATGAACTGCCACACCCGTTTTTTATTGGCAAATTTATCACATACAATTTTCTTTTTAGAAGCATCAAGGCGTATAATAATATGGGTAAACTCAATAATGAACCAGACAAAGGAAGTGACCAACAAGAAATTAACTACGTGCCTTATGGAACAGAAAAGATTCAGTTAAAACCTGAAAATGACCCAAAACAAGTAGACACTTTGTATATGTATTTTACAGTATTAACATGTAAGTGATAAAATAAACATTTTATTTATTTTTCCAGAAACGTAACCTATCCTGCGAATACACAACACCATTTTTGATCAAATGACGTCCTTCAGTTACTTGGATTCACGATTAAACAACAATTTTGCGATTTGACGAAAGAATTGGTGTCTAGAATTGAAGAGGTTTCTTTCAATATATGCATATTAATTACACTATTCGACCTATTTTCTTATCATGCATTAAATACCTTTAAAGCTTACTTAATTTTTAAATTCTTTTGAACTTAACAAGCTTTATGATTCTCGGAATTCTTTTCTGTAAAGCTTTTTTTAATATTTTCAAGTATTTTACTACCAGTATCTCTAGCAAAGGTAGCCAGACTTCTCCAAATTAGATTAAGAGTTTCTTTTACGATAAAGCTCATTGATTCTACTATTTTTATGGTAAATAAACCTCCTCCCCCACTTTTCAGCATTTACCATCTGCTTTTTTTTTAATCGTATGTGTTGAAGAGGTATTCATGTTCAAACTGCCAAGGTAAGAGTTGACAGCCAGTACACCGAAAATATCAAAATACTTAGAGGAGTCCGCCAGGGTTGCGTGCTGTCCCCACTACTTTTCAATGTCTACAGTGAAGCGGTATTTCAAAAAGCGCTCTCAGACTCAATAGAAGGTATATCTATCAATGGAGAAGTTTTGAATAACTTACGTTTTGCAGACGATACAGTAATAATTACGGATAACAACAATGATTTACAGAACGTAATGCAACTCCTTAATGAACGCTGTCATGAGTACGGACTGAAGATAAATTTAAAGAAAACTAAATGCATGGTCATGACTAAATCTGCAGATGCAAATATCCAATTGACTATTGAAGATACTGCAATTGAGAGTGTTAATAACTATAAATACTTAGGAACATGGATAACATCAGATGTAGACCAAACCAAAGAAATTAAGACACGTATTGAAATAGCACGTGCATCATTTATTAAACTTAAAAAGTTTCTTTGTTGTCGGGATATAAGGTTAGAACTACGCCTGAGAATGCTTCGATGTTACGTGTTCTCTACTCTTCTTTATGGTCTGGAAGCTTGGACACTCAAACAAGTTCATCTGAATAAGTTGGCCGCCTTTGAATTTTGGTGTTACAGAAGAATCCTACGAATGTCATGGACTCAAAGAATGTCTAACATGGAAGTAACTAGAAGGATAGGAAATGAGGCGGAAGTAATATTAACTATTAAAAGACGAAAACTTGAGTACTTGGGACATGTGATGAGAGGGCAAAAATACGCATTTTTACAACTTATTATGCAGGGCAAAATCCGAGGAAAGCGAAATGTGGGAAGACGAAGAATATCCTGGCTTAAGAACTTGAGGGAATGGTTTGAATGCAGTAGTGCAGAACTTTTTAGAGCGGCAGTCAACAGAGTCCGCATAGCCATGATGATTTCCAACCTTCGATAGAAGATGGAACTTAAAGAAGAAGTTGAAGAGTCAAATTAGCAAGAAGAAAATTAGACGTGACGTGATATGCAAATTGGGCAGAAACGTCAAAATAAGAGGTAACTTTCTGAAGATCTTCAGAGCTCTTCAGAGAAGTTGGCTTTCTCAATACATAGTGCTGGCGACAAAATTTCAACTTATCTTTGCAATTCTCATCCTTGATACATCCTGTAGTTGTTGGTCTTTCCATCGTATTTTTGGTTTTCCTCTTGGTCTATTCATTATTGATTTCCAGTTCGTTATTCTCCTAATTGGTACGTCCTTCCATCTATTATTTTATGGTTCATCAGTCTTTAATATTCTTCATGTTCTGACTTTATAGTACTTTGTCTAATTTACATAATATTTCTGGTAATTATTTTTACTTTTTCTTCATCTTTTTTCGTAAGACACATGACTTCCGCTGCATATGCTATCATTGGTCTAATTGCTACTTTATATATTTTTATCTTGGTTTTTTCACTTAGGTTTTTGTCTTTAAGTAGTCGGTGATATTTTCAATAGTTTCCCGCTTTAATTTTGTCGCTTATTTCTACACCTCTTTTATTTTTGCCATCCACTAACCATCCCCAGTATTTATCTACTCGATTTTTAGTTTTGTAGTTCTGTTAACATCATCACTTATAGTTATTCACTATTTTATTGTTTTGTTCTAATTAATTACTGTTTTAACATTGGAGGAAATGCGATAGACGGGAACTGGCACTCTTGACAAGGGAACCCAGTCCATATAGTATAGCTGCAATGAAAGCCAACACATAGATAAGGTGAGATTGATTGTAAACCGAGGAAGGCCTTATTGTTGACTTTAATGTATTTATTCAAAGAATGTGCTATTTGATATTCTTTAATTACAGTTTGATCACTGCACATGCCCCAACTAATGACAAACCAGAGGAAATAAAAGAACAGTTCTTCGAAGACCTAGAGCAATTCTACAGGAGATATCCTAAAAATGATAATAATATTAGCATAGCCTACACAACATCAGTAGCGATAATGGATTAGCACTGATATACTTGGCAGCAGAACATATTTTGAACACAAGAACATAAATAAAGTAACCTGGACCTCTCTTAATGGAAGACCAAGAGACATCTTAATAGATTTAAACAGACGTTTTAAACTGCAGAAGTTATAGAGGCGCAAACACGCACTTAAATCATTGCCCAGTGATCTCATCATTGAGATAGAATTTTAAACATCAGTAAAGATAATACAATAGATACATAAAAAATGGAATGTGCAAAACCTGAGAGATGCGACAATTGCAGAACGGTACTCGGAAAACATCATCAACAGGCTAAGGAATCAAAATATACATAAAGAAGGCTAGAGAGATATAGGCTCCTACTGGACAAACAAGGAACAAAAATAGCAGCAGCGAAAGATGAAATAGGAACAGAAATGTGTGCCGGAAAAATCATTAATTTGACCATGAATACAAGAATGCAAGAGAAAAAGAGAAGAGAATCAAGGAACATACACAAATAAAAAAAATGAAACCACCTAAATGAGGAACTTAAATATATAGAAAATTTCAACAGAGCGAAAAAATTCAGAGCATTCTATAAAAAAGTTAACATCAACAGAAATGAATTAAAGGCAACTCTTGAAAAAGTTAAATGTAGAGTTTAAATTCAGGGGAAATGTCTGAACCTTGTAAAAAAATAACGAGCTGCACCAGGAAGACCCTGTCAACTGTATGCTGTTCAATCTGGCTCTGAAAAAAGAAATACGTATATCACAAATGACAACTACTGCTTTAATATATAATAAATCAGTGCAAATCCTGGCTTATGCTGATGATATCAATATTCTTGGCAGAACGGAAAAACGCTATACGAGGGGCATATGTAGCATTAAAAGAATAAAAGGATCAGCTACAAAAATGGGTTTAATATTAAACACCAACAAAACGAAGTATGTCCTTAAATTCACAATTACGAGGATATATTGATATTAAAATAGCCTTTGATAGATGGCGCTACTTGATACCGAATTGGTTTAGGTGTTGACACTTGCCATTTATGACATGACGTCTGTCAAAAGTTCCTTCACAAAAAAGGTAAAATGAATATGCAAATCAAGGCCGACCTGGACGAAGTTTATGGTGAGGTTTCACCTTCGTTAGCAACAGTAAAATTTTGAAAAGCTGAATTTGTTCGTAGTCGTACGAGTGTTTCTGATGATGAGCATCCCGGGAGGCCAAATGAATTCACCACGACGAAAATGATCAACAAAGTCCATGACATGGTTATGGCAGATCGTTAAATTAAGCTCCGCAAGTTAGAGGTTCCAAACAAAAAGGCAAAGAGTCGGTCGGCAAAGTGATGGCGACTGTTTTCTAGAATGCGAAGGGCATCATCCACATCGACTACTAAAAAGGAAAAACAACCAAAGGTGAGTAATACGCAGCATTATTGGATCGATTCGATGCCGAATTGCGTAGAAAACGCCCCGGTTTGGAACGCAAAAAAGTGTTCTTTTACCAAGACAATGCACCGGCTTATCGATTGGCCGTCGCCATGGCAAAATTACACGAACTGGGCAATAAATTGGTTCAACACCCACTGTATTCCTCAGATCTTGCATCCAGCGATTTTTTCCTGTTTCCAAACCTAAAAAAGTGGCTCGGAGGATGCCGTTTCGCAAAAAATAATGAAGTCGTCGCTGAGACATCGGCCTATTTTGAAGAGCTCGAGCAAAAGTACTATTCGAATGGGATAAAAAAATTGGAACATCGTCTTACTCAGTATATCGAGCTGGAAGGGGATCATGTTGAGAAATAAATCGATTTAATTCCAAAAAACTTGTTTTTCTATCAAAGGCTAGTTTTATATCAATCCACCCTCGTATATCGAGAAATACAATACCAAAATTCTACAAAACAATAGTAGAGTCAGTCCTAACATATGGTTCAGAGACCTAGATTCTAACAAAAATTATTGAAAACATCTTAAAGCATAGTAAGCATAATATCGTAAAGCTTAGTAAGATATAACCCATTGGTTAGAGAAAAAGAGAAAGACCTAGAACAAGGTTCCTTAATAACATCAATAAAGACATGAGAAATATGCTTACACGTGGCTACGACCCATGCAGAGTTGTAAACCCAGAATAATATTGATGTCCCCATATACAAGCCTGTTTTTCTTTGCTTCTCTTATCAACGTTAGAAGTGTTTCTTCTATTTTTTGTTTGTCGCACTCTAACAATGCTAGGTCTTCCACGTATCCTAGGATTTATATTGAAATTTAAATATTTTATTTTTCCAGCTTTGTCTCTGATTACTCCTGCTAGTATGATAATAAATAGCGCCGTTAATAGACTATCACTTTATGTTACACCAAATTCTATATTGGTGTTGCTTTTATTCTCTTCGAGTTGTTTTGACACTGGCTGATAAGTCCTTCATTATATTTTTAATCAGTTTTATTAACTTTGCTGATATTACCATCGTTTTCTTTTAATAATTGTTTTCTGTATATGCCATCGTAGGCCTGTTGAAAGTCGATGATGAACAATATATGTAGTTCTTGTTATTCATATTCGTCTTAACACATTGTTTACAAATAATTTCAGTAGCAAACAAATAAATACAGATGCAAATTCTTTTAGACAACGTGGGCCCAAATAATTGCATGCAAGTAACTAAAGATTAACAAAGAGCAATTTTGAGGTTTTCTACTTTTAACCCAATAATTGTAATTATAATATATTTTAACAATTTTATTATTTTAGGTCAGCTGATAGTGTTTGTTGCAGGAGGAGCAGCAGTATGGACGTCGCCTGCAATACCGGAATTATTGTCAAACAACACATACATAAATCCGCTCAATCACCCTATAACTTCTGTGCAAATATCCATGCTGGTTGGATTTCCAAATGTTTTAGCAATTGTGGGGTGTCTATTTTTGCCCAAGCTATCGGATGTCATAGGACGAAAAAGGTTTTTGCAAGTTATGGCTATTTTAATCTTTGTTTCTGGTATTTTATTGGCATTTAGTAGGGAAGTTATCCTGTTAATTACAGCTCGAGGTATTTGCTGCTTATTTTATACAGCAGCGTTTACAGTGTTCACCGTATACATTTCAGAAATATGTGAGGATTTTCAAAGAGCCAAGTTTGGATGTTTTCTGGGAATGTTTCATCAAATTGGTCATTTCTATTGCTACGTTATTGGACCGTTTTTTAGCATAAAAATATTAACAATTTTAATTGTGTTTCCTACTATTCTATTTTTTGTAATTTCTTTTTTCATACCAGAAAGCCCAACGTTTTGTTTACTAAAAAAACGAGATGTCCAATGTATGAAGTCTTTATCAAGATTAAGAAATCACAAGACTCAAAAAGAATTAGAGTTAGATATGGATAAAATTAACCAAGTCATTAAAGGAAGTTCCGAACAAAAAAGTTTAAAATTTTTATTTCAAACTAAAGAAAATAGAGTCGGCTTTATGTTAGGTTTACTTCCTTGTATTGCGCAGCAATCCTCTGGAATATCTGCAATCATGATATTTTTAGCACCAATATTTAATTCAGCAGGAACTAGATTTTCAGGAAATCATGTAGCAATGATAGTTGGTATGGTAAAAATTACTACTTTTACATTTACTTCTTTTGTTGTAGAAAGGGTTGGCCGCAGAAGGATGATACTCTTTTCCTCATTAGGAACAAGTTTGTCATTGTTTTCCTTGGGTCTTTTCTTTTTCTTAAAACACATTGAATCGCCTCTAGTGGCTCATCTGCAGTGGTTACCTTTTGTTTCAGTTATCTCTCTTGTATTTGTTTATTCTTTAGGCCTTGGTCCCATTCCAGTTGGTATAATGAACGAACTATTTGCACCCAACTACAGAGCAGCAGCTTCATCGATTGTTATGGCTTTAACAATGATCGTAGTAACCATTATAACAGCAGCCTATCCGTTGGTTGCACAAAGTTTCGGTCCTCATTGGTGTATTTGGATGTTCAGTTCGTTATGTTTAGGTTTCTCACTATTGATGTTTATTTACTTACCAGAAACAAAAGGTATGAGTTTAAAAGAAATTCAAGAAATGTTAAAAAAATATTAGATTTATTGAATTTTTAAATCTTTTGTTTTAAATATTATGTAATAAATCGTTACCAAAAATTAAGATCTACTAAGGATATATTTGTTTGTGATATATTTAAATTAAATTTTATTATAAGTTTAAAAACAATTAAAGTAATTATTGTTTAAAAAAACTCTATTCATTTTTAATAAAACACTAAATATTTTTTTACCACAAAACAATTGGAAACATACGTCACTTTAAACTAACGCTAATGATATACAGATAGTCCTAACAACAACAACAACAATAAAGATCATCTCTTAGAAATCAATAGAAAGTGCAATGTAATATCCAACATGACAGTACCAAAATATCACCCTTGGGTCCAGGGTACCCATGCTTGTACTTCTGGAAATATCTTCCCTCGTTGTTTCACTAAAATACAGCGGATGACTCATATTCTAACTCGGCTTACGACAGACTGAATTTACATAAACTGGCGACACACATAAATCACTCATGCGCATATCACATTGCAATGAATGACTCTCTAGATTTCTGAGACCCAACAGTTGTTGGGTCTTAGAAATCCAGGGTTCCAGGGGTTCAGATCCAGGGTTCTGAATCTGAACCCTGGATCACACAACAACTCCTGCTTGTAGAAGCCATGGTTTTCAGTTGTCAAAAACAAACTCTTGCATTGAAAGTCAAGTTCAAACTAAATTTTAAAATAGAATGCAATCGACTTTACAGAAATTTATTAAGGCAATAAGGGATAATTTAAGCCTCATATTTGTTGCCAAAGCTCAAAATCGAAACTACATTTTATAGGTTTGGAAGATTGGGCTCTAAGAATGTAATCTTTATCATGACTGGTCTATGGAATTGATCAATTTTATTCTTTACTCTTCACTTTTAAAACCCATTTTGATTTTTGGCGATACTCTAATCAAACTATATCGAGTTATTACCGTCGTGTTAAAATATATCTTATTTAAAAAATTCATTTCGAGTACCTAACTGAAATTCGCAGGTCGTTTCAAGTGTTGTGTTTGAGAGAACGATTCATTCTACACAAAAATTGCCTATAAATTGTTTTATTTAAAATTATCTTAGCAACATTTCTTGTCTGTGAGTGTCGATTCATTCGACACTGAGGAGTAGGCAGATTGAGACCTGAGTGCCGTTTGACGGTTCTTGTATATGAACAAGATACTGGTAGAGTTTCAAAGTCTCAACGCGATTCTTCCAGAGAACTTAGTAACTGTCATATGTATATATATATATATATATATATATTATATATATATATATATATATATATATATATATATGTTCGGAAAGATTTTCGCGGTTAGTACAATGAAACTGAGAGCTAAGATTAATATTATTACTAAAATTAATATCAAACTCATCAGTCTTCCGGGTTGAACCGCGTCGATATCCATTTTGCCGAGCTTTCGGCATCCTCTATGATGCCTTCCTCGGGAACCGTCTCCTGTTCCCAGCCGTAGTAGTGACAACGCAGTGATCAGTGAACAGTGTAGTAGTGTCTGGGGGTTCAGGAGACTGAGATCTCGGGGAGACTGGTGAGTTTGATATTAATTTTAGTAATAATATTAATCTCAGCTCTAAGTTTCATATATATATATATATATATATATATATATATATATATATATATATATATATATATATATATATATATCGTAAAGACATATCTATACTTTTGGTTCTCAATATAATATTCAAGATTCAACGTATAATCAGACATTTTGTTTGTCTATAGCTTTTTTAGTAAATGTTTATTTTTCAAGGATAATATATCCGGTACAGGTGCCCAGGTTTAAATAAATAGCTTTTGTAGTAAACGTTTACTTTTTAAGGATAATATATCAAGGTGCTTAGGTGTACATGAATTTTTAATTGTTACTAATCTTACGCAAACAAAGCGTATATTATATATTATCTCCATTTCCGAAAATGTAAGTAGTCAGGAACAAATTATAACAATAAAAAATAAAGAACAAATAATTGCTGCTTTATTAAAATAAAAGATGTCGCATAGTGAAACTAAATGTAAGCCTGAACAAGAATTGCAGGAAGTTAAATACATTCAAGTTGACTCAGAAAACGTTGAATCTTTTAAGACTGAACATGAAACTAAAAGATCTGATACTTTATTTTTAAGATTTACAGTGCTTACAGGTAAGTAAGAAAAAACTATTTTTTTAGAACCATATTTTATCTTATTGGTAGGTTTTCAAACTATTAACTTGTGATGGCGTGTGATAAAAATATGTTGTTGGATATAGCACGAATATTTATGTTAGTATTTGCACATCTAATGTGATTGACTTAATTAAATCAATAATTATATTTTTCTGATTAATGTGTGGGTATAAATTTTCTTGTTAGGTAATTTGTTAGATAGTAAAGATTAAATTATTTTATTTTTAGTACTAATACGAATCAATTTATAATTGTGAATTCCTGTCCATTGACGAATATTACGCATCCATGACATCTTTTTATGTTCTAGCTCAGTGGCCCTTTACCTTATACGAAACTTTTTATAGTTTTAAAATTACAAAGAGTTGTAGTATGCATACTATCCATCATCAATCGAAAATTTCGACTACATCATAACTAATACTCATTGTACTGTGTATATGTATCTTTGGTTGCCTAACAGTCAAGAGAAAGATCGTTACTACCTCTTTCATTCGTACACGTAATAATGAATGTACGGTACGCAATATTCGTAGACCAGAAAAACAAACTTATTGTTAAAATCAGTTAAAAGGAGACTGATTTTAAAATATATGCAATGAATAATTAAATAAAAATTCTTTTTCTTGAAATGTTGAAGGAATAATGCTAAAAATTCAAGCACGAAACTGTAATATTAATACAATCCAAGTCTATGCTTCCACAGCTGATAAGACCGAAGATGAGATTGAAAAGTTTTATTTAGAATTGCACAATACAATCAAGTTAATAAAATTTAGAGATATAACTTACATTTTAAAAGACTTTAATGCAAAAATTTAAGTAGGTACAGTTGAAAATAAAGTTGGACAGTTCGGACTAGGAACTAGAAACGAGAGAGGACAAAAGCTTATAGAATTCTGCCAAAAAAAGAATATGGTAATTGCCAATACTTGGTTCCCGCTTCCGAAGAGAAGACTATTTACATGGACGTCTCCTTTACATACAGAAAACCACATTGTCAGACACCAGATAGACTTTATACTCATGAATAGCAGATATAAAATCTCTATAACCTCAGCTAAAACTTATCCAGGAGCAGATCTTAACTCAGACTACAATCCGTTAGTGGCTGACATGAAAATAAAATTAAAAAGTATTGAACTCAGAAAACAACAACCAAAAATAAATGTAAGAATGCTATAAAACGAAGATAAACAAACGAAATAAAAAATAATATGTATGTTAATATGCAAAAAGCACTAACTGACAACAAACTAATTATGGATTTAAGTAGAAAGTGGTATAATATTAAAAAGTTTTATTCAAACCAGCTCAAGAAAGTTTGATACAACATAGGTTAGAGGCTAACAAACAGTAGATGACAGAAGGAATAATACTACAGATGAAAGAAGGAAGGAAATATAAAGGAATAGATCTACAGAAGTATAAAGAAAAATAACGAATAATTAGTAAAAAAATTGAAATAGCTAATAGCTAAATATATATAATGTATAATAAAAATTATAATAAAAATAGCTAAATCTATTTGATAAAACAATGTAAAGAGATAAAAGAAATAGAAACAAACTATGATATAAGAAGTATGCAGAAAAAATTAAGAGAAGTGATTATAATGGGTCGAAATAGACAGCAAGGACACATAAAAGACAAAAAAGGAGTACTACTAATAGATTTACCGGAGAAATTAAAACGATGGGAGAAGTACGTTAGAGAACTTTTCCAAGATGAAAGAGAAGAAATGCAGAAAATACAATAATTAAATCCTTTAGAAAGATAGATGAAAGTAAATATGCTATCAAAAACTCTAAAGACAATAAGGCAGCTGGATTAGATGAAACACCAATCGAACTGTTAAAACTAGCGGAAGAGGATAACTTGGAAGTATTGGCATATTTATTCAACACGGTGTACGATACGGGAATAATACCACAAGAGTGGCTGAAGTCAGCATTTATCTTCTACAAGTGCCATCTCCGCTGCGGAGGTCGGCAATCATCATAGCTATTCGGACTTTTGTGACGGCTGCTCTGAGAAGTTCATTTGATGTACACCCGTACCACTATCTCAGGTTGCGCAGCCATGAAATTTTACGCCTCCCTATGCTTCATTTTTCTTGGATCTTTCTCTGCATAATCAGTTGGAGCAGGGTGTATTTCTCTCCACGTGTAATATGTCCGAGATATTCTAATTTTCTTGTTTTAATTGTATTTAAAACTTTCATTTCTTTATTCATCAGCATTTATGACCATTCCTAACAAAAAAGCAGCAAAAGACTGCTCTAATTATCGAAAACTGAGCTTCATGAGTCATACGTTAAAAGTACTGCTGAAAGTAATACATAAGAGAATTTATGAATAAGCACATTGACAGTAAAATCATAAATATAGTAAAAACAATATATTAGAGTCAAAGTGCCATAGTTCAAATTTATGGGCAACATTCAGAAGAAATAAAGATCTGTAGAGGACTTAGATAGGGATGTGTTTTATCGCCACTTTTGTTTAACTTATATTCTGAAGAAATTTTCTAAAACACGCTCAATAATATCAAAGCGGGAGTCACCGTTAACGGAAATTAATTAACAGCTTACGATATGCAGACGACACTGTGATCAAAGCAACGATTATAGAGGATCAACAACATTTTATGGAAAGCTTGAGTATGAATAGTACTGAGATGAGAATTACTATAAATGCTAAAAAAACGAAGTACATGATAATTACAAAAAGACCACAATGTATACATCACCTATTGACAATCAATGGTAACGTGATAGAACAAGTAGAAAAATATCAGTACTTTTGAACTTTGATCAATGAAACCAATGATCATACTGTTGAAATAAACAGGCGAATAGAGATTGCTAGATCAGCATTTATACGAATGAAACAACTCCTAACGTGCAAAAATCTAAATTTTTAGTTCAGACTACGTACCATTCGCTGTAATATATTTTCAATATTATTATATGGAGCTGAGACTTGGACATTAAAAAAATGCAATTTAAAAAAAATCGATGCTTTCGAACTCTGGTTATAGCGCAGAGTATTAAAAATATCCTGAACTGATAGAATTACAAAAAAAGAAGTACTGAAGAGGGTTGGTAAAGAAACATAAATAATCATCACTATTCAAACCAGTATACCGGGCTGGGGGTAAGACTGAGACTATAATTCTCAAGGGACCAAGGGAAAGGGACGGAATAACATTTGAATGTGCAAGAAAGATAGTGGTTCCAAAGAAATGCGTGAGGTATTTAGGGGTGACTGTAAGTCAAAACAAAAAGTGGGGGGAGCAACGTAAAAGCGGTGACTCAAAGAGCTGCGGTGAATTCCGCTGCATTGGGAGGAATCATGCCCAACATCGGAGAGCCCAAATCTGAGAGGAGGAGGGCCCTTCATTCTGTCGTGCAATCGATCGTCCTCTACGCTGCGCCGGTCTGGAGTTCTGCAGTCTTAACGAAGGCGTACATAAAACAGCTCACCGAAGCAGATAGGAAGAGCCTATTGAGGGTGGCGTGTGCATACAGAACAGTCTCTGCAGAGGCGTTAGGAGTTATCACTGGGTGTATTATAATGCACATGCTAGTGAAGGAAAGAGGAAAAATATACGAGAGAAGAAATGAAGGCATGGCAATAGAACGTTTAAAAAAAAGGGAAAGGTCCATAATGGTGTGGCAAGAGAAATGCGATTGCGGGCACTGGCGTTTGGATTATTTCCTGACGCAGATGCTCACAGGACATGGTTGCTTCCGGGCATACCTTTACAGATTTAAAAAGGCAGAAAATGACAAATGCCTGTATTGTGGAATATCGGACACTGTCTCACACACCCTATTGGTATGCGATAGACGGATAGTTGGGAGAAGCCTGCTTTAGAGAGAGTTAGGAGGTAGGGTGCAATCAGTCACGGAATTGGCGGAGGAGATGCTTAGGTCGTCAAATCGGTGGACAGCAGTTCAGAGATATGTGAGGAAAACATTGCAAAGAAAGGAACAAGAAAAAAGGTGACCCGAAGATAGGTAGGGTGCCCAGGACCAAGCAAGAAGATAAGGCAGAATGAGTGAGATTTAACATGAATAGGGAGGAATAGAGGGAGAGAAGAATGCTGTCATAGTGAGAAAGTGCTAGAATGCGTGAGAATTGTGCGTGAATGAAAGTTCGGGTTAATGCCGTGCCGAGGTTGCGTCCCAATCAGGGCGATCTGGCAGGTAATTCACCGCTGAGGAGGGGGTGTTTTTTAGCAGGTAGGTCTCTGGCATTGGCGGCGATGGTGTCCGAACAACCCGAGCAAGCGGCCTCGGATATCATCGTGGCCACGCTGGAGGAGTCCTGCATAACCGAGGATGGAAGGCGGTTCTGATCGCCTTCTAGGACCGAGGTATGTTTCGAACATTTGGATCACGCCTCCTCATAAAAGAAGGAAAAAAACTATTTAAACCAGAAAACCGGAATACCAGGTCCCCGTGATGAGAGGTCCAAAATATAAAATTTTGAGACTCATAATACAAAAAAAGATTCAAGGAAGAAGATCTGTTGGCCAAAGGTAGAACTCATAGTTAAAGAATCTACGTAATCGGTATCAAGGCAGATAGATTGATTTGTTTAGAGCAGCAAGTTCTAAAATAAAAATAGCCATTATGATTGCCAACCTCCGTAGGGAGACGGCACTCTAAGAAAAACAAGAAGAAGGTTGTCACTACATATTTTGCTTCTTTTGCTTATGTTCCATTCATTTTTTCTATTTTGTGTCCATTTATTTATGCGTACAGTGTGTACGCTACATTTTTTTCTAATGTCTTCACGTCTCTTGCAATATCTCAGCTTATGTCCTGTACTTCTTCTCAGTTCTCCCATCTCTGCTGTTTTTAGTAGCCTTTGCGTAGTGGTTATATGGTCTTGTTTCTGAGGCATATGTCACTATTGGTCTTACACTGGCTTTAAATTATTCTTAACTTCACCTCAGTATTAATGTGTAATAATGCACCATATAGTGTTAGTAAGGCATAATGCCAGTCTATTTGCTTTTGTACTTGATCTCTCACTTTTTTGTCCAGGTCTCCATAGCTAGGCAGTTTAATTTCCAGGTATTTTATTTCTATTACTTGTTTAATTTTAATGCCATTAATTTCTATTTTGCTCGTTGGTACTTTGCTGACTACTATTATTTTAGTTTTCTTGAGATGAGATTGTCATATTAAATTCTTTTGCTCTTATGTTAAATCTGTAGAACAGTCTATCTTACGCGCCGAACGACGTTCGGCCCGTAATATCGGGCGCGTCAAGAAAAGTCATGGTTCTCCGCCTCATAAAGTAATATAATACTATCTGTTCTGCATCTAATAGCTTTAGCAGTTCTGCAGAAATTTCATCCCGGAGTATTTTCATCCTTCTATTGTCTGATAGTGGCTGTCACAGATAGACGGTGGTAAAATGAACACATTCTCATGTCAACAAGCATAGGTGCTACAAGTATTATTAGAAGATAATTTGAAACTCATAAATTACAATTGTGATATAAGTTATGCTATTACAATGTATATATATGCAAAAGCAAATACGTATTTATACTTTTGGTTGTCAATACTATAATAAAGGATCAACGTATAATTAGACATTTTGTTTGTTTCTAGCTTTTGTAGTAAATGTTTATTTTTTTAAAGGATAATTTATCCAGTGTAGGTGCTCAGGTGAACATATATTTTGATTGCTGTAGTTACTAATCTTAAGCAAACAAAGCAGATATTATATATTATCTTCATTTACAAAATATGAATAGTTAGGAATAAATTATACCATCAAGGAATAAAGACCAATTATTGTTTATTAAAATAAAAGATGTCGCATAGTGAAACAAAAAGTAAGCCTAAACAAGATCTGCATGAAGTTAAATACATTCCAGTTGATTCAGAAAACGTTGATCCTTTTAAGACTGAAGATGAAATTAAAAGATCTGATACCCTATTTTTAAGGTTTACTGTTCTTACAGGTAAGGAAGGAAAAACTATTTTGTTTATTGGTTAATTTTTCTGTTCAAATTATTTATCTTATTGATGGGTTTTCAATCTGTCTTCTTTTATAAATAGTATTTGATAAAAACAGTTAATAGTAATTTGTTGTTGAATATAGTAGGGCTACTAATGTTAGTATTTGCACATTAACCCTTCAGTAGTCGCTATAAATTTTTGAAAATTAGTTGTCGCGCGCGGTCGAAACGAACGTTTGGTCTTTTACTTCTTAGTTTGTGTTAATAAAAGTATTTGGAACCAGTTTGAGAAAAACACGATTTTATTAAGGTTTAATAAGTAGAGTTACATATTAAAAAATAATATAAAAAGTTAACTAATGTTAAAAACACTGAACAGGACATTAAAAAAAACTATTTTCTACTCCGATAAAAAAAAGGAAACTTAGTTAATCCGAATAAGTTTAGTTTGGTACTCTTCGCATACTGCACGTGTATGTTTTCTGCATACAAATTTTTTACATTTACATTTACCATGTACTCCTTCATTCGTTGGAGTGCCGTCTGTGTTAGGAATATGACATATGGCCTTAATACGTAACTTCAGATCTCTTTTAAAATTGTTTACTGTTGCTCGGACCCGTAGATGTTCATCCATAAGAGAAAATGCTAAATGCTTCAAAAATTTTCTTCTAAGCATTTTGTTATCAGCAAGGTTGTTACTTGCATGAATCACTAGCGAATTAATGCCTGCGATATTTAGTATGGTGTTAAAAATTACCATGGGCCAACGTCTTGTTTTTCGCGAAACATCATAAGAGGAGCATAGCTGATCAACGACGTCAACCCTGCTTTTTTTTGTCAGAATTTCTGGTTTATAATGTTCAAATGTTTCTCTATCTATAGAGTCGTCATCATGTAGACTTGAAACAAGCAATACAACTTTCTTCTTTTTGGGGATATACAACACTAAGGTACATGTATCGCTAAAGGCGAACATACTTGATTTTAGAGGACGAGATCCTTGAAGTAATTCAGGGGACAGTTTCCTTTTGTTCTTTCTAATGGTCCCCACAACAGTCAATCCAAATTCTTTTTTTTAAACATCTATTAGAAGAATGCTAATGAACCAATTATCTAGAGTAATTTTGCGCCCAGAATTCTTTATTGGCGCACACATTCTTTTTACAACTTCTTTCGGGGAATTGTCTACAGTAAATGAACCATCTAGTTGACGACCCACATAAACCTCCATATTTATGGTATTATACATTTCAGCGTCACATAAACTAAAAATTTAGAGCTCATACTTTAAGGGTTTGCTTGGAATTTATTGTATCCAAGGGCAATTTCCTAAAAATCCAGGAAGCATGTCATCGCATCTTAAATTTTGCGAAGGTTATATCCCGATTTACACTTTTCTATGAATTTGTCAAGAAATAGTCGGATGGCGGCCCTCTTATCCAGTCTCCTACGTCCTTCACGATCGACCTTATCATCAAATCTAATGCATCTTAGAAGAAACCGAAATAGGGATAAGGACATAACTAGTCTAAATATTTCGATACGTTCGCCATTAGTTTGCAAGATATCTTCTGTATTCAGGTGATAGGCTTTATATGTCCCTGCCAAATATAAAAGGCCTATAAGAGCGCGAATTTCAGATGGGTTTGTACGCCTTTCATCCCTCTCCGTAGAGAAATTGCTTGCTATACTTTTAATGTATTTATTAGTGGATTCTACAATTATGTAAATTATGTCCTCATCAATGAAATAACCCCATATTTTATAAATGTCTTTCAACTTTTTCTTAAATTTATTAGGACCAGGTGATCGTTTTACTAAATTAGGCTTGCTCATACGTACCCATACTTTTTTTTGATGCTTTCTCCACACTATCCCATCTCTTGCCCTAAAAACACTTTCTTCTTGTACATTATTCAGTAAAACTTTTCCTATTTCCTCTAAATCCTTTTCTTGTTCGCTTTTCGAATCTTCCGACGTCATCGTCGTCCTCATATTCTATATCAAGCGGTTCTTCTTCTATTAGGGCTTGAAGTCTCCATTGTTCCTTCTCATAGTCCATTCTAAAAATATAGCCAAACAAGTTATATATAAAAGTTTGCTGTAGACAGAAAACTAAAGAACAAAGAAAATTATAAATATCGTAATAGTAATTTGCTGCAAAGTAATTTCAAATTTGATGACTAATTATACATTTGATGACTTTTAAATAGTAAAAGAAAGAGAGGTATATTCAAAAGGTTACTAAACAATAAGACAAAAGTATAATATTATATTATTAAAAAAACTAGCGTTTATACAAACCTTTAGGTGATAAGAAACACAATAAAACGATTTATAAAAACTTTTTAGCTGACTAGACGTCCGCGGAAATTATGACCTTTGCGCTGTAACTTCTAATCAACAAACCTCCCGCTACTTTGATTTAGTACTGAGGCTCCTTCCTTGTATCGAATGAGTAAGCTACTGAAGGCCGTGGTTGCCAAATGCAATTTTTTTCCGAAATGTTAGCAATTTTTAATACGTGCGGTCTTTTTGACCATGTAGCGACGAGTTAAGGGATAAATGTGAATGAGTTAATTGAATTATCAGTTCGATAGTTCGACTAAAATTCTTTATGTTTTATTTAATATCTTTATATTTGAAATAGAGATGGTATTGATGTAAAAATATTACTTACTAAAAATACTGTCCGACAAATTTGTATTTTGTCGAAATGTATTTTGTCCACTTTATTATTTAATATTTATTTTAAACATATATTTAGGGGCCTCACGACAGATAATGAAGACTTTTATTTAACGGAATGTTCATAAATAATTGTCTAATAAATAGTACAGAAGACCTTAAGGTCGCGTAGGTTATAAGACAGAATATCCCCACAATTTAAATTGAATGCTATATAAAACAAAAAAAAATTTAATGTCATGAATAAGATAAAACTGAGTCTAATTGGCTAAAAGAATTTTTCGGAGGTCTGATAGCGAATCAAATACAGACAAATACAGTCAATGTTATGGCGGATTTCGAGATAACAGAAGATCACAACCAAAGTAATAAATTAACATATCCATCTACACGAAAGGAAATAATGGGTGCCATTAAAGCCCTGGAGCTTAATAAAGCGCCAGCATTGACCACATACCAGCTAAAATTCTTAAAATTGGAACGAATACGCTAGTAGATAGCTTTCATAATTAACGGATGTATGAAATAGGGAAGAAATTTCATAAGATTTAGATTTGTAGCATATTGTAGATTTTCGACAAATCTTGAACAACACTAACAAAGAAAAATATACTTAATAATGCAGGACATTGTTATACCAAGGAAATTGGTAAAAATATTTCAAGCCACCATAACTCGCACAAAAGCGCGGGAAACCAATCGTCAGATGACAGATCGCTTGCAGGTAACTATGGGGATAACACAGGGAGATGGGTTGGCTCCAACTCTGTTTATTATATTTAAAGAATATGTTATAAGCCTGTTTAAAATGTCTGTAAACCCAAATATTTAATATTTAATAAGTTTAAGCAGATTGTGATATATGCAGACGATGTAATAAACTACATGCTCATTGAACATTTTTATGAGGTCATTTGACCCAATATGAATTACCTATAAATCAATACTACAATATGTAATGGCTACTTTAGAAAATATGCCGTGAATTCTTATCGGTACTTAAAACATACGGGTTTAAATTAAGGGTTGCGTCTTAGATTTCTCAGCCCTGTTCCAGCCAAAATATACTGCGTTTTTCCCCCTCCCCATTGAGTAGTAAGTTTATCTTATCTGTGACTCACTTTTACCGAAATGCCAGCTCCACACATGGGCGCGGAAGTTTTCCCCAACAGCGTTAGTCCAATGTGTGTACCGACAAAACTGTGTTGGAGCCAGTCTGACAAAAGCTCTTAATGGTAAAACAGCTAGAATTAAGGTAAATGGAGTTCCCATTAACAACATTAGGTATGCGGATGACACTGTAATCTTAGCCGAAAACATTGAAGATCTTCAGAGATTGGTGATCAGAATAGCAGAGTATGGAAAAGAGTATGGTCTAACAGTGAATGTCAAGAAGATGAAATTTATGAGAATATCAAAAACTCAAAGAAACAACGAGAATCTTCTAAAAAACGGAACCAACATCGAACAAGTGGACAAATATGCATATCTGGAAACAATGATTCAGGCCACAAATGATTTCAATCAGAAAATCAAAATAAGAATAGAAAAGGCTAGAGCAAATTCCAACAAAATAAGAAGGTGCTATGTTTTTTTCAAATTTATTTTATGGAATAAAATCTTGGACCATATTGGCGACATAAAAAAAAACTGGAATAATTCGTGTGGGTGTACAGAAGAATACTGAAAATATCGTGGACAGAAAACGTCACCAACAAAGAGATTTTGGAAAGGATGAATAAAAAAATGGCAATTTTAATTATAATAAATATAAGAAAAATTAGAATATCTCGAACATATTTTACGTGGAGAGAAATACACCTTGCTCCAACTGATTATGCAGGGAAAGATCCAAGAAAAGAGAAAAAGAGGGAGGCGTAGAATGTCATGGCTGCGCAACCTGAGAGAGAGAGTGGTACATCAAATAAACTTTTCAGGGCAGCTATCTCAAAAGTCAGAATAGATATGATTATTGCCGACCTCCGCCGCTAAGATGGCACTTGAAGAAGAAGTAGACAAAATAACGTAAAATTTGCCTTTGTTGTAGCAAAATATAATTATAAGCACTCATTATCACTACAGTTGCAGCCACTGCAATTTACATGTCAAACAAGGTGACGTTGGCTCTAGCGGGAACATAATGATATCGCCCTTATATTCAACCCAATGTGTCGATGCCTCACCGAACATGGGAACACAGTTGACCCAACGTTGGCTCCAACGTTGGCGCCAACCTTAGATCCCATGTGTGGGACCGGTCAGAATTGACAGCATAGTTTCTAAAGTTATTACATATTTTAGTACTGTTTTAT